ATACTGTATGCAGACTGTTGCATGTACAACTCACTAGCATTAAATATTGTACTGGTAGTCCTGAACTACAAGAAGCAAGACAGTTGCAAGCCTTCAAAGTTAGAATTATGTAAAGCTTTTAATGGGTCAGTTAGGTCCTAGTCTGAGTGGGCAGAAGTTCGCTGCATAGATCAGCCTCTCATTGGGCGGAACGAGCCACCCGCTGAAGTCCTGCCCTACCACCTCCGGTTGTGCAGCGGTTTTCAACTGTTTTCAACATGTCCTTTACTAACTTTTGCGGTGTTTGATCTTGCGGGGATGTAGCTATTTTTCTGCCATGGTTTGCGTTCTGTAGGCCATATTTTTGTGGGCGTGTGCAAGCGCACCATTGCTGTGGCACCGCCCAGAACGATTGTGATTGGTTGAAAGAAATACAAGCAGCCGGGGCGTTTTTTTCTCCAATCTCAAAGTGAGAGTCGGCCCAGCCAGACCTTTCTTTTCTTGAGAAAGGTCTGGTGAGCGAGACTAGTTAGGTCCTAGAGATGCGGTGACAACAGCTGCACAGGCCTGATTTTTTTTCATAGGGCCCAAAATTCCTGGCGGCGCCCCCGCTTGGCTGCCTCACAATCTGCGGCAATTATTTTAGCATCTGGTCTTTTTTTCTGTGAGTTGAGAGCGAATCTGGCAAGAAAACACACTGATAATCTATTTTAAACAATATAAAGGATATAATTGCTCTGACTATGATAAATAATAAAAATGCACCCAGTGCTTCCACATATTTGTCAGTTGTGTCTAAACAGAAAGTGACTTGCACACACACACACACACACGCACACACACACACACACACACAGACGGACAGAGACAGAGCTCTACATGTGATTTAAACAAAACAGAGAGCAGAATCTCTTGCTGACCGGTGGATGGGAGGGGAGATGGATGGGTATAAAAAAAAGTTATTTTATGAGTTATTTTATGCCTGGTTCACACTACATGACATTTCTGTCCGACAGTCACTGTGTCACAGTAGGCGATTGTGGAGTCATAAAATCGTGCATTAATTTGGCCAAAACACGATTTACTGCATGATGGTCCACACCAATCATCCCCGGTCGTCTTCCATGACGTGTATGATGTCACCATGTTATTCTTGTCCCATTTATTATTATTATCACTATTATTTCAGTGACTGTGGCTGTTCATGTGCCAGCCAAAATGTTGTAGTAATGCATAAAGTGCCACCAGATGACAGGAGCTACATATGAAGTACTGTACACAAACATGCAAGTCACTGAATCTTCCACAACCAAGTTCCTGCAAATGTTTCACAATAAGAGCTTATTTAGAAAATAAAGGGATTCTCTCAACGGAAGTTATAATGGGATTTTATTTTTATACAGATGAAGGAAGTGTTGAGTTTGTAATGATAACGCGATGCATTAACTTTATCAAGGCAAACGGGAGCAGATTAGAAGTAAAAATGAAAAATACAGAGGGAATAATAAAAAATGTCCCATTTATAATGTAGTCTGTTTCAAATGAAGCTGCTAGCCTCTGCAGTTGTGGTAAGTAAAGGCCCCGACACTATTTTTTAATTTCATTACTTAATGCCTCTATGTAACATTGTTTGCTAGCTTGATGCTAATGGCAGTACTCACCGGGTTGATAAAGTGCCTCTGCTGTTTCACCCCGTAATTTTTCCCGTTTTACTCTGTGTGGTAACATCCCTAGAGGAAATATTAAAAACACTGGGGTGTTGTTGCTGTACAGTTGTCTACGGCAGCAGATTGCACTGTGTTTCTACTGGTCAAAGTGACGGCTGTGAAGGGAGAAGTCATGAACAGCAAAAAGGAAATCAAACTAGACTTTCTGTTGGAACGTCGTGAAGTGTCGCCTACTATGAAACACTACACGAGATGAAACGATGGATTATCATGTACGATAATTGCCCACGATCCATGCCAACACTGTGCAACGCTACGTCTGGCTATAATCGGGCTGATGTCGTGGGGAACTGCCCATTGGTCTGACAGCCCATTGGTCCGACATCCCATTGTTCCGAAGTCCTGTTGTTCTGAAATCATCATGATGCCCTGTGGTTAAGGTCTGGTTAGGTTTAGACACAAAAACCACTTGGTTAGGGTTAGGAAAAGATCATGGTGTGGGTTAAAATGAAAAAGAAAGTGGCAAACACATAAGCCGTGAGCCTGCTTCGCTTCAAGCCTTTCCCAGCTGACCCAGAGCCAGTTGCGGTGCACCATCAAGGCAGAAATACGCCCACCGGGAGCCGTTCAGCACCGCGGAGAGCTCCCCACACAACCCTGACCCCAGAGTTAATAACAGGAGGTTATGGTGTTTCATTCTCTCCTCTCTATGGCACTTGTATCTCGACCAGCAGCCTACTTTTGTTGTGTTTGCTGATCCTCTATGGTACATAAATACAGTATAGCCTAGTATAATCACATATCGGAACAACAGGACATCGGACTAATGGGATGTTGGACCAATGGGCTGTCGGACCAATGACATGGACCCGAAATAGTGTTGTGTGAACCAGGCATTAATAATATAGTGCGCTAGTATGTGTGGCATTCTACAGTAGTAATGAATGTCATGACAAATATCACGTGACGTTACATTTCATCAGTAACAACCATACCAATTTTAGGCCAAACCATAATGTTTTTTTCTAGACTTAACCACATGCTTTTGTTGCCTAAACTTAAGGAAGTAAACCTAAATGGGTGTACATGCTCTGGTAGGAGCAGTACTTTTACAAGAGGATGTAAGACAATGTATAAGAAATGTTGTCTTTATTTGAAATCAGGCTCCTCTGGGTATCAAATGTTGGTCTTGCATGCATTTTTATGTTTGGAATAATGGACTAAGTTCAAAATACAAAAAACAAACAAACAAAAAAAGGAGCATGACAAAATCCATATTGTAAATGCATATTATGACAATAAATCAATATGTACATTACAATGACAGGTATTACAATATACAGACTTGATACATTCTAGTAAAATGACAAAATTCCAGCAGGATGCAGTACAATAGAAATATTTCTTTACAAAGATACAATATTTTTCATGTAGCATAGGATGAACAAAATATACAGCATGTTTAAGAGGACTGTGTATCTTTACAATCAGACTAATATTCATGTATATGATTTTTAACAGAGTTCTGCTGTCTTTTGCAGATGGTAACCCAGTTACAGTGTCAAAATATCTGTCTATCTAGCCATCCAACATCTCTCTATCCTTTCATTCAGTCATTCATTCACTCATCTGTCTATTGCACCTATCCATCACTGCTCCATCCATCCATCCATCCATCCACCATCAACTTATGCATCTATGGATTATCCATCCATCCATCCATCCATCCATCAACCTATGCATCTATGGATTATCCATCCATCCATCCATCCATCCACCATCAACTTATGCATCTATAGATTATCCATCCATCCATCCATCCATCAACCTATGCATCTATGGATTATCCATCCATCCATCCATCCATCCATCCACCATCAACTTATGCATCTATAGATTATCCATCCATCCATCCATCCATCCATCCATCAACCTATGCATCTATGGATTATCCATCCATCCATCCATCCAGCCATCCTTTTTTTTAGTGTGCTTAACCTCTTACTTATTTGAAAAGGCTGATCCCAGTAACAATGTCTTAAATTCTGGCATGTATTCAGTCATCAAGTGGATATTTAGTCTTTTGATATCCTTTTGGTTTCTTCTTTCCATTCCCAGTAAGTTACAGAGTAAATGTAAATTAACCTTCCTGTGACGTGACTGTAAATACAGTGGTGATGTTTTGGTTTCTCAGTCAATATTCCATAGAATACAGTCTGTCAGTAGAAATGCAATACAGTTCCCGAAAAGTCTCTGAGGGAGAACGGTGTACAACAATACAGCAGTTATACAGAAAATGGAACTTTACACCAAATAATATGCAATATCAGACTACCACTGATGATTATTTACATTTAGTCAAATCTCCCTGCCCTCTCCATGAATGAACCTTCAGTGTACAGTGCTATTTTCCTCTCTCAAAAGGTAAAACCTATACAGCTAATGTTAGGAAACAGCCCAGGTGTTGCTTGCTAAAATAGCATTTACCTGAAAGATCACCTGCAGCAAACAGCCAGTTACTTTGCTGCTTTACAGCCTTCCTGACTTATGGTGGCACTGCTCACAAAAGCCTAACAAATGCTAATATTGCAGTCACAAAAACACTGGTGTGGACTCTCATGGATCTGATAACACTGTTGCAAAGCTGAGCTATTGCTTGGATTCTGCAAAATGACCCAAGGTTCAAATCCTTTAAGGAATTTCAAGGGTTAGAATACAATCAATCTGGTCTGTGATCAAGTATGTGTCTGAACAAGTGCCAGCCATGAGCTATGAGCCATGGCTAACCATGAGCTGATGCTGTATGGATGCAGAGATAAATCAACAGGACATGAAGAGATCTGTGTGCATGAATATTGTGAAAATTATCCATGGAAAATGAGCTTAGTCACAATGATATTAAGTCTACACATTGATCAACATCATTGCTAACTCATATCTAGATTTCTGATTACCTGAATAGCATATCAATTGAGTTACTGTACATAATGCTTGAAATGTACTGCCTATAGATAGCATCTGGCATGCAGTGTGAAATGTCTCAAAAAGTTTGCTAGTAAAAACCTCATCACATAGAGATGAGCCCAAGTAGCGTAGCGTGTCACTGAGATAAATTTGTTTCCTGAAACTTTATTTACACCACTGCCCCATTCATCTAAAGAAGGGGTGTGCTACAGTAATGCTTAATTTCCATCAAAACCCACTTAGCTTCTTCTGTCTGCTATTCACTGTGCATGTATAACAAATAAACACATTATGACTGATTTATTTCTCAAATGAATTTTCTTTTGGAAAATAATTCAACCGTCATTAGCTGATGAAGACAATTCCTTTGAAATGAGATTTTCTCAATTGTTGCAAATAGTGAACTGTCACAGTAAACTTTATTTTTTTTAAAGCGGCACCAATCAATGCATTTTTATATGCACAATAACTCACTATGTGTAATGTGAACAGAGTGGCTTGTAGTGACAATTCCACTGAGAAGTGTCACAGTACAGTCACAGTACAGTTACACTCAGCTCGATGACTTTTTACGCGCTCATTTAGCTGTTTTGGTTTTATGGCCTTCACTCACTGTCTGGTCTCACAAGTCTCATCAACCTTGTTTCTGGACACAGCAGAAAGCTGTTTGAGGCAAACAAGCTACCTTACACAAGATGCACAGTACCTGTCCTGGCAGCAGAAGGCAGACAGACAAAGTTAGCAACTAGCTGGTCAAGACACAAAAAATTCAACTAGTTATATTTGTCAAAAGTTGGTGGAGACCAAAAGCTAGGGGGAGAGTTAATGTTTGACATCAGGTTGCCAGAAACAGGACAAAGCAATTCCAATGTATCTCCATGTGTGACAGATATGTTTGCTAACATGTTAGCCATTTCATTTTTCATTTTTATCAGTTCATTTCTGCCCCCAAGTGACAAACAAACATTTTGCAACATTTTTGTTTTTGCTTCCATTTTCCACAGGTTTAACATGTAATACTTGTCTGTGTACCCAATAGATATATTTCTCCAAAATGTTGGTCACGAATTTGTTAAATCTGTGTCAGTGAGCACCTCTTCATCCATTAAGATGCTGATAAACAGCATCATTATTACACAGGTGTGCCTTGGGATAGTCATTCATTTATTTGTCAAAACATCAGCTGCCACAAATCGATTTCTATTTTTCAAGCTGTTTTGGGGCTATTTTTTGACCGTACATTAGGGAGCACTGTGGAAATATACATATGTTTGCTTATTTACAGCACCACACTGTCTGAGCACAGAGCACACTCTTAGAGTGCCATACATGGCAGAATGTCAAGTGCATTGAAAGTGAAACTTAACTGTTCATTAGCCTGGGTCTAAACTGGGTCTAGATCACATCACTTCTAAACAGACTGACAGATCAGTTACCTACCCCGTCACTAACAAAGTGCAGCTAAGGAATAAGAAGAACTCACAGAGAGCTCCCCCTGTGTGACATTCACTGACTACAAAAACGTCCAAATTTAGAAAAGTGACATGCATTTTAAAGGAAAAAAAAAGGAACCTAGGTTTTTACACCTACCAAAATGAATGTTCATGTCACTACATCATCAATTTCGTTTCTGTGAATTTGGCAGTACATCCAACCAGCTGAACAACCTCTGACCACATGTAGCCACAGCAGCTCAAGACTTTCACATCTAGCATGTTCACCTGCAACACTGTCTCAGACCAGCCACCAGGACAGCTGATACAATAATTGGTTTGCACTACTGAAAAACTTCTGCGGAAACTGTCAAAAACCATCTCAGGGAAGCTCATCTGCATGCTCATTGTTCTCACCAGGGTCTTGACCTGGCAGTCATTGCAACCGACTTTTGGTTGTTAAGATGTACTGCCAAATTCAGGGAAATGGCATTGGAGTCAGCTTATGGTAGTGAAATGAACATTCAGTTCACAGGCAAAAGCTCTGGTGGACATTCCTGCAGTCAGCATGCCAATGGCACGCTCCCTTAAAACTTAGGACATCTGTGGCATTGTGCTGTGTGATCAAAGTGCACATTTTAGAGCGGCCTATTATTGTGACAATACGAAGGCACAACTGTTAGGTAAAGATGCTGTTTAATCAGCATCTTGATATGCCACAGCTGTCAGGTGGATTGATTATCTTGGCAAAGGAGAAGTGCTCACTAACACAGATTTTAAGTAATTTGTGCCCAAATTTGAGAGAAATTTGTCTTTATCTATAATGTAATGTATTATGAGGGCGCTGTTTTAGGGTGAAGAAAGGCAGTAAGACAACGTTTAGGTTCTGTTGGAGACTGCAGCTATGTTGAAGTGTCTGTAGTTTGAACCTGAAAAGTCGAAGCGGCTGAAGGAGGGCAGCAGAGGCAGAACCTGGTCTGAAAGAGTTTTGCTTCAGAGCAGTGTAGCAGCAAAACAGGGCACCTTGCCAAAGCCTGCTCACAACCAACACTTGGAATTCATCACATTCTCTAAGATTATCCAAGTCTGAAATAGGATTTGAATTTTCAGGGATTCAGCCCAATCCGTGCAGTACAAGGTCTGAATTAATCCAACTTAGGATGTAAAGTCCATTGTCCACATCCATGCAATCTTCAGCTCTCCACAGATGACAGCAGGTACTTCCGGAATTAAAAGTCTTATATAGCTTTCCCACTGTAGCATTCGGGCATGTTAAGGTTCCAGCTTTTTCTAGAGACTTCACTGAGAAGCTTTAATGTGTCAGACATGAAAAACCACAGCTGCAAAACAATATCAGGCCATATTTGTAGTCCAACATGAAGAACTACAAGTAGAAAACTAATAGTCGTTGATATTTAAAGTCCAGCTTAGGAAATTACAGTTGAAAAAACATGTTTGTGATCCAACAAACATGTTTGTAGTCCAATGTAATGAACTACAATAGTCAGCCATGTTTATCTGCTATCCTGAGACACATCTCCCCATGTACTGGCTTCATTTTCATCCAAGTCAGAGAGTGCTGCTGTACACAGATCACTGAAGATATCTGGAAAAACAAGAAAGATTCAAGTAAGCTTCAATCTTTAATACAATGATATATCAAACAAAACAAGCATGGGAAAATGTGGACAAACTGTGGCATTCAAACATAGTGTTTAAGGAGAGGGATGCACAGCCAGGACTGCAGTGCCAATAAAACATAGCACACCAAACAATGCAGCTTTAATAGGAGTGTAAAACAAGGGGACATAATAGTGAGGTGTTCGATATCTGCAACAATATCAGCCAATAGAATGCATAAAGAATTATAGGGAAGGTAGACATGTGCAATCAACACAGACAGGTGAAGAGGGCTTTTTGTAAATGGCCTCACTTAAACAAAAATACTAAAGATTAACTGCTAGAGTGCTGAGTTCTGTCCTCCTCAACTATGAAAACAACCTTCTAATACAGAAGAGGAAAGAGATAATAGAAAGAGAAACGAATGCCAAGTGAGACAAAGGGCTCTCTAACAAAACAAGCAAGGCCATGACAAACGCTTCAAGGACCAGCTCAAGCTGGCATGAAAGGGAGGACATCGTGGAGAGATGGATCGAGGACAGCAGGAGAACAGTAAAAGAGAAGGAGCCTGGAGCCCAGGAGTGGCTGTCCTGTGAGAAAAAGAATGTTTTGTGGCACAGAAGCATGAACTCATTAGAACAGTAGTGAGGTGTGCAATGTGTGCTCAAGTTTCATGTAAGGTCCACATTGATACAAAAGGTTTGTATATGGAGCTCTCAGTTATCTAAATGTAGAATGAAGTGAGCGAATCAGCCATAAAATCCTATTTTAATGCCTTTTATTGACAACATTACTGTAAACACATGATTCTCCTGGATAATTTAAAGCAGCCTGGCCTCAGTCCTAACTCGTCGAATACTGCCGCTTTGTTAGTGATGTCAGTGTCAGATACCAATGTAAAGAGGCACCTTTTGCGGGGTATGATATGTACCAGGTGCATCAGTTTTAGAGGCAGCAGGCATCAAATACTCGCGCTTTGTCAGTGGATGTTGGCATCAGATGCAGAAGCACAGAGGCACCCTTCTTGGCAGTATGATATGCATCTGCTGGCCACTACTGTAACATAAATAGTGGGAAAATCCGTATAGGGTGGGTGGGAAAGGACGTGGTTGGGTCCAACAAACTTTCACCTGGGAGCCTGTGGGAGTCCACTATTAATTTCCCACAAGAATTTTAAGCAAAACCATGGTGTTTTCTAACCATATGCTTTTGCTGCCTTAACCTAACCACCGATTTTTGTTGCCTAAACCTAACCATGGAGTTTGGTTGCCTAAACCTAACTATGAGCTTTGTTGCCTAAATGTTTCTACAGAGTTTGGTTGCCTAAACCTAACCATGGAGTTTGATTGCTTAAACCTAACCATGAGCTTTGTCGTCTAAACGTAACTACAGAGTTTGGTTGCCTGAAACTAACCACAGAGTTTTGTTGCCTGAACCTACGAAAATTAACCTAAAATTTAAGTGTTTGACGTACGTTGTTGATTATAAAAAAGACTATGCATCTATCGAGCAGGAGCTGTACATTTCCTGTGAAAACCAAAGTGCATTTTGAAAGGACACAATGCATGTCACAGTATAAATTGACACGTCATACTTGAACATCTAAACCTGAAACAGAAGGGCACCCAGTGTGTCATATTAAGACATGTACTTCCGCTGACAAAGCAATGAGATTTGATGTGTTAAGATGAGAATGGGTTGTTTCAAGATTAACTTGATATTAAATCTTAGTTTTTGATTAAATAAATCAAATGTACAGTGACTTGATAATAGATTCTTGGCTTGATGAACAGCCCAGTCACCAGAAGAAAATGTTGCTATTGTATGTTTCTGCCAACCACGAATATGTTTCTTATGCATCATATCAGCATTTCTAAAGTGACATAGTATATGAGCTGACTCTGTCATCTGGAAGTGGAAAGGATGGCACAGGTGGGATTAAGTCATTGCAAGTCTTAAGTAAGTCCAAAATCTTTGCACTCAAGTCACAAGTCAAGACTAACAAGTCTTGAATCAAGTCTCAAGTCTAATTCTTGAGAGTCCTCAACAAGCCATAATGAGCTTGCCACCAAATGTAATGCCATTTTAATAACAGAGTAATATATTTAATTTACCAACATCATGAATGCTTTTCAAAATTGTATTTATGTTTAAAAAAAATGTAGTGAAATTTGTTGCATCTTGGTCTGTAATTTTCAACAAGCACGTCTTGCATACTGCAATTTGTGTTAAACACTGCTTAGTTTTAGTGAACAAAATTATCTTTGGTATCATTTTTTTCCAAATTGGCACTCAGTAACATAACATTAGTTCTTTGGGACTCTCCTGCAACTTGATTGGATGCTGTCCGAATGGTTCAAACAAAGAGGATCAGGGGAATAAAGTGTCAATTTGCTGGGAATGAGTAGGATAATGTTGGTGGATTCAGAAAATAAAGGGAAATAAATTGATTGTTGGCACACTTTTTAAATAGCATACTTTTTAGTCTTTGGATATGGGGGAAGGTATCAAGTATTTTCAAGTTTCAGGCTCTAAATCAAGTTAAGTCATGAGTCGTTGGCGTTAGAGTCCATGTCGAGTTGAAAGTCCTTTTGCATTTTGTCGAGTCTAAAGTCTTCCAATTTGGTGAATGAGCTGCAGAACACTGTTTGAGACTAACAAACAACTAAAACGACTGTAATTTAGCAAGTCATTACTGAGTTATCAGCAGCTTTTTAGCCAACAAACATGCTTTTTTTGTAGTGACCTGTTGTTTTTCTAGCAAAGATAGTGACAAAAAGAGAGCAGGGATTGTGCCCCCAAAACTGGGTATTTTCAGCATGAACATGACCTTTTCCTACCCATAACCAAGTGGTGGTGTGCTTAAACCTAACTACACATTTACCACAGTGTTGTTGAAACATCAAGTTTTAAAGGATTTGCTACATAATCGTGTGCAAATGTAATGTTTCCGTAGTTTGCATAAACCTACAATGCCAACATGCTTTCTGGCAACTGGGTTGGGGGGGGGGGGGGGGGGGGGGGGGGGGGGGGGGGGGGGGGGG